CTACTGTATATAAACAGGGAGCAAACCCCACACTCACTAGCACTGATGATGCTACCTAGTCAGGTAATGAAATGTCTGCAAGCAAATAACCTAGCTCAGAGAGCTCCAAGGACTCCACAGTTCAACCCTGAACTACATATATTCTCTTCTATTGGAGTGTATCATTTGCCATTATAGTTGGTGTTCTTTACTTTCCTTCCACCTTTCCCAATATTAAAGTCTTCTCCAGAGAGTTATGTCTTTGCATAATGTGTCCAAAGTAGGATAATTTGAGCCTGGTCATTTGTGCCTTTAGTGAGAACCCTGGGTTAATTTGTTTGATGATCCATTTGTTTGTTTTCTTGGCTGTCCATGGTATTGTCAATACTGTTCTATCCTGCCTTTTCAAAGTCCAACTTTCACTTCCATAGAGTGTCACCAGGAATACCATTACCTGGACTGTTCTGGTCTTTGTAAGTATAGACCCATCATGGCATTTGAATAGCATTTCCAAGGCCTTCATGGCTGCTCTACCAAGTGCTAGTCTGCAGCATATTTCTTGACTGTTCCTTTACTGTTAATGGTTGATCCTAAAAGGCAGAAGCGGTCTATTACTTCAGTGTCTTCATTGTCAATTCTAAGGCTGGTTGTTGTATCTAGTGTCATTAGTTTAGCCTTCTTTATATTTAATTTTGGACCCATTTTTTTCACTGTGTTCCTTGACTATTATTATTAAGCTTGAAGATCCTCTGCATTTTTGGCTATCAGAGTAGTGTCATCAGCATAGTACAGGCTATCGATGCGTCTTCCTCCAATTTTAAAACCTCACTCCTCTTCCTGTCCAGCTTCCCTTAATATATATTCAGCATACGGGTTGAATCATTAAGGGGAGAGTATACAGCCTTGCGCTGAATATTAGGGCATTGACATTTGGCCTCTTCTACTTATAGAAAGGATGCAAAACATCTGGATGGACTTATGCACCTCATCTCACTCAGTTAAGCAAATCACTTCTGTATCTAATTCTCCATCATGAATTATTGGCTTCACGTGCAGATCGGGTATATGAGCCATCAGCTGTGCTAGGTTGCTCTTTGGACATTTTTCTCCAAATTTAGAATTGACCTCTTATTTGGTCCCAGATACTTTAGTTGAGCATAAAGTTCCTCTGTCACCATCAGAATAGATACTTCAAGTGATTCAGACCTTCTATCTGCAGTTCAGGCAGGCAATGCAAACAATAAAGGATCAGTCTTTGATGTTCATTCAAATGCAACTCTTCTGATGGCAGTTATCAGCATTGATAAAGATCTCTTGTGACTCATAGGCCCAGCCACCATCTGTATCTAAAAGAACAGAAAATATCAAGTTGGGAAAGATGACTATACTATGTTCTTTAAACATTAGCCTCTAAATTTAATTATTGTGGAGGCCGCTCAGTCGCTACAAAGCAACAACACATTCATTTTGCCTTCACAGATAAAAAAGGCAGGAAATTGGATTAGGAAGGAAGGTATACTCAGTGGTAATCATGCTTTTCTGTATGACGTGCTACCAGGTGTGCCTCTCCAGGTACCTCCTGTTTCTGGGGAAGGGCAGGAAATTGGATTAGGAAGGAAGGTATACTCAGTGGTAATCATGCTTTTCTGTATGACGTGCTACCAGGTGTGCCTCTCCAGGTACCTCCTGTTTCTGGGGAAGGGCAGGAAATTGGATTAGGAAGGAAGGTATACTCAGTGGTAATCATGCTTTTCTGTATGACGTGCTACCAGGTGTGCCTCTCCAGGTACCTCCTGTTTCTGGGGAAGAAGGTGACTGTATTTTTTTCCCAGTTGGCCAAAGGTAAGAGCAAATGGCACGGGTTTTCTATAGCCAAGGGTCTCAAGTTCTTGGACAACAGATCAGCGCTGCGCGGCATGCAGAAGAATAGGAAGTGACAGTTGCATTCATAGCTCTGCATTGCCACTTCTGGTTGCACACCTCTGGACTTCCCTTTTAATTTAGAGCCAGAATTGAAGGCCTTCTTCTATTTAAAGGGTTTTTTTGTTTTTATCTGCGCTTAGTCATCACAGTTTCTTTAATTTGAAAGCCAAAACTATTCTGGATAGGATGCAGTAACTTTTGAGTTACTACACGCAATAGCATCTTGATAACTTGCAGTATTTTCCTTGGTACTCTTGAAGCAGGGAAGCAGTTTCCCAGGAAGCAGGAAAACTTCATCTAGCCATTTGCTACCAGACAACAATACTGATTATTTCAAATCATACAATCTGAAACATATCAGAAACACTCCTGGCATTCTAGGCATTATTCTTGACTCCGGGAATCTATGATTCTGCTTTAAGTCACAGGCCTGATTGTTATTGTATGCTGAGAGGACTTTACCATGGATTTCAGCTGTCCCACCATTCAGTGGGTACTGATGGACGGTCCTAGCTACCCCCTCTTTTGAAAAACTCTGACATTGCTGCAGAAAGAAGCAGTAAAGCCTGACCCCTAAGTCTTATATTACAGGGACTTCTATTCCATATATTTCAGTTTTCTAAAAAGACATGGTGATATGCGTTCTATCCTTAATTTACAAAGTGTAAATCTATATCCATACCACATGGTTCAAAGTAACTACTCTTGAGTTCTATCCTGCTACTTTTAAGGAGATGAGATTGAGTAAACCTTAATGTTTATTTTCACAAAGCGTAGTTCCAAGGGACTGTCAGCTTCTTTGGTTCATGTGAGGGATCTTTCACTTTTAGTTCTGGGTGCGCACCTTTAGCCTAGCAACAGGTCATTATTAAATACATGGCCCTGTTATTTGTACATATCCATGCCCAAGGAACTGTTATATTCCTCTATAATTCTTCAATCCCTTTTCTTTACAACCCCTTTTCAATCAGGACCATATTAACAATACTTTACAGCCCATTTCTGATTTGGAACTACAGATTAGAGCTGCATCTTGCTTCAACCTGAACACTAAAGCTGTGAGCTCAATATGTGAATCCTTTCCTCTGGTAGACTGGGCTGTGGCATTCGCTACTTTAGCACAGTCTGTTCTTGACGCTCTCAAGTGTTCCAAGTCATAGCATCCTATTCTACCATCATAGCTTCCCCTTTTGCTGATTTAGACATACATAGCCCTTTCAGGCCTGGTACCTCAAACATGTGCCTCATCTGTGGAGACATACTGATACTCATTGTTGCAGGGTTTGTATATTCCCACACTGGTTAAGAGATATGGACAGTCTTCCAGTCTTCTGGCCATTGTGTCCTTTACCCCATTAGACCTCACAGTTACACTGTCACTTCCTTGGGAAGATGGAGAATGCCCTACCAAGAACTACAGTTCAAGATCTATACTATTGGATGATCATAACCACCACATCAAGACTCTCAAATGAAGGTGTTTTTTTTTTTTCATCCTTTAGGACCCTGATTCAAGAGATTTTCTTTTGACATTCTCTCAAAAGTTCTGACAACGATGCATCCAAAGAAAAATCACTCCAATCAGGCCATCAAAGCTCTTGAGCCAACTATTTGAGTGGGCGTAATACTTTTAGTGGCAAATGGGATTGCACAAAGCAGACATTAGCAATCTGTTTCAAGAGTGTTGACATCTCCAATGAATATTGTTGCCACAGCAGTCAACACTCAATGCAAGATTGTTCATCAGGGATGAGTTGTAGTTCTATTCTCCTGGCCCTGATCAGGCATTTCCAGCATTCCTTCCAGTCTAAGGTAATACTCAGGATACAAAAAATACAGCCAAATTCCTTCATTATACCATGGTGGCTGAGACAATCATGCTTTGTCTCTCTGTTCATCTAGTAGGAGAAAACTTCCAAACACTATCAAGCCATCCAACCCTTCCCATTGTCGGTGGGAAGGTCCGTCAACAAACCTCCATGTTCTCTAACAACACAGAACGTAAGATCAAAGCCAAGCCCATAAGTTATCAAGGACATCTTGGATATGTTTAGGAAGCACTTCAGTAGTAGTGCTATCTGGAGAAATGTTGAGTCTTTGGACTTTTCTTCAAATGTTGTCTTTTTTGACTGAATTTATTTTCACAGGTCTTGTAGGTTTGTTAGTACTGTATAGCTGTCGTCTATAACTGTGTATCAAGGACTCATTCAAGATAGCCCTCTTTTCTCAGGTCTAATGTTTTCTAAAGCTTGTACTTTAACCTGTATCTTCCAGGAACAACCCTAGTCCCTGCCTGGAGTTTATCTTCAATTTTATCTGCATTAATGAATGAACTCTTAATGCTTCTGGCTCTTGTGCTGTTTGTTTATTGTCATGGAAAGGAGAGAAAAAAAACAGTTTTAGTTGCTTTCACTTCAGCCCACATGCCTAGCAAGCTATGTTCTCTGAGAATAAAGTCCTTTTATGACATGACCTTCTATAATGTTATTTTAAATCAGATTTTAAATTTCTTCCTGGGATAATTTCCACGGAACTTGTCCTCCCTACATTTTATCATACCCAATCAAAAATATACCCAATTAGATTGGCTAGATCATTTAGTCTTATTTAATTAGACAAGCATATTTTGGTATCTTATTGATGGACCAAATAAAGGAAAAGTTGCAAGCTCTCAACATTTTGTAGATTGGTGGTATCAGCTATACAGTGTACCAAAGTGCCTAGTCCCAGCGTGTATTTAGATCCACACCACGAAGGCATTAGTAATGTCTGCCACATTATTAAGAAAGCATATGCTCCTAGGTCTCCATGCAGTTGCAACACAGTCCTTGTATTTGACTTTCAGTAAACACTGTTGTTGAGATGTTTAAAACGCGCTTCATTTGGAAAAGGAGTCCTATCTTTGCTCGTCTATTAACACCAGCTCTCCAGCAAATATTCCTAGTTATTTCTGGGAGAGAATTTCTCTTCTCCCATTGATGTGAACAGTGGAAACCATGATCAAAACCAGGTTATTTACTTGGAACTGAGATGCTTTGAGTGGTCATTTGTGCACATCTATAACCCATCTTCCTTCCCTACTTGGTGGAACTGACTGTTTCAATTTCAGTGTACTGAAGAGGATGAGCAGAAGCCTTTACAGAAGGTGAAGCTACCACCAAAATGCAAGTCTAGATTCTCATCAATGGGACTACGCAGGTGACCACTCAGAAGCCTCAGGTGTAGGTCAATATTGAGTTCTGTAAGGTTAACATTGTCCCATCTTAGATCAAGCATAAGCCCTGGCTTCCAATTTCATGGCTTTGCGAGGAACCAAAATGAGATAGCGTTAATTCTAACAAACAGATCTTTTGCTCACTGAATGTTTTACCTGGCAACATTAGAAGAAGGGAGATTGCATGAAAAAGTGGATCCTACAGGTCTGGACAATAGCAGTTAACTTGCATTTTCAGTCCTGTATGCAGTTGATAAGACTACAGTAACAGTCTGTCATACTTAGACACGGAGTACTTAGGCTGCTGTTGCCCATTGCTTCAAATACAACAGACTAATGTTAATAAATGTGGTCATTCGTCCTCTGAGACTTCATGACTCTGAACAAGCTTGTCAACTTCCTTCAACATTTATTTCTGCCACTGTGAAAGCTGGTCGCGTGTTATCTGCAAATAACTCACAATATTGCTATCTGTGGAGGTATTGCCAAGTGTCAAGCAGTGGCCAGGTCCAAGACAATTGGTTCTTTTAGGATCCAGAGGCAATAAACACACCAGTAAGTAAGGAAATTTTAAGCTTTATTTTCAAAATTAGCAGGCAGATTTAAACACGAAAGCATAACATACTAAGCAAGATGATAACAAATCTCCCTTCAGCTATCGGGAGCCCCAGTGGAAAGACAGCAGAGAGATCCCAAGATGGCCCATTCACACAGCACATGGCTTCAGGTCTGTCTCGAAGCTCCCAGTTCAAAGGGCAACACCAGGGTCTTATCAAACCTAGTACTACAACCTCATGACGCTCTTTCCATGGTACTGGGATTGCACAACCTGACCTTTGCTAGATGGTGCACCTGTTCATCAGAGGCCTGGAATGTAAGCCAAGAGCTTGGGAACTGTACAGATAACCTTGAGGTCCTTCTACAACTGTGGGAAGATTCCTCCCTTCTCTTTATTTTCCAAGCAACAGCGAAAAACAAGTCAGCTAAACATTATTATGACTCAGAATGAACTCTGAGCTTCTAGAACCTCCTTAACATGAAGGAGAAATTAAAAGATGTCTATCTCCTCAAAATACTGTGGTCTTCCACAGTGCCACTACAGTGGAAAAAGCCATCCTTATAAATGTGCGTGCCATCTTTGCTCTCTGTTGAGGTGGTGGGTCATAGCACTGGCCAAAGCAAGTTCTTGTTGAAAGATGCAGCTCTGAAAGATTAGATCTGTCTAAACGATTTCTATTTCCATTGCTACAGGGACTTTTTGCCTGGAGGCAGAAGAGATTACACTGTGCAGGTTCAATTGAGGTGACTTCAACTTTCTTACGATAATGTATCCATAATGCCTTCTTTAATTGGAATGAATTGTAACTTAAATTCAGGCTACTTAACAAGTTTTTCTTTTGCAAATAGGCTATGCCTAGCAGAAACAAGCTGCCCTCAAGAGGATAACTACCCCAGTAGTTTATGCATAAAAGTAAACGGGAAACTCTTTCCATTGCCGGTATAGTTACTTATTTATTTTTATGTATTTATTTATTATTTCAATTTATATGGATGCCCATCTCAAGTTCATGACTCTGGGTGACTGTGTTAAAAGAGAATATAGAAGTGTAAAAAACGGGGAAAAAGGTCAGTAGTCCTTCTGGACTTCTCCAGTATTTAACATCATGGAGATTGGCCACTGGAATATTTGGATCTGTTCTGAGAACAGATATATGACAAAAATTCAGCCCCCCCAAAAAATCCCACAATTATTTGCAAAACATAACTGAAAATCTTTTTCCTGATTATCTTTGCATTTCTTATTCTGATTTTCCTTTTCTAATTTGCCTATCGCTTTGCTTTGTTTTGAATAAGCTCGTAACTCCAGATGTTTAAAGAAGGCTTGCAGCCTTTTTACTCTCCCCAGATATGTCATTAAGTCACAAGGACTGCCCGTCCTGCCTATGTGGGAATAAGCTCCAGGGAATATACTCACTCAGCTTTGTAGTACATCTCTTGAAAGAACTAAGCACATGCTTAATGCTTCTGCTGGAATCAGTTGAACATGTTACTTAATTTTAAGTGAATGTGCTGTGGCCTATATTCCAGAAATCCTTAAAGGAAAATATATAATGGGAAAAAATCCTGTGTTTTTCAGGGATATGCTCCTCCACCTAAAAATGGAATTGAACAAAAGAGGCCTGGGCGTCCGTTGAATATTACATCTTTAGTTAGACTGTCCTCTGCAGTGCCAAACCAGATTTCCATATCCTGGGCATCTGAAATTGGAAAGGTAAATGATAAGCTACGAGATATCTTTTTAGTGTTTTTTTTCCCCCTTTAAGTTGCTGTGATCTCTTCTGTATATGCTGCAGATTAAGGTTGACTGCGTTAATTCTTCAGTGCACATTAGAACTTACTCATTCTTTTACGATTTTCTCCCTGTAGAATTACTCCATGTCTGTGTATCTTGTGCGCCAGCTCACTTCAGCAATGTTGCTACAGAGACTAAAAATGAAAGGCATTAGAAATCCTGATCATTCCCGGGCACTAAGTGAGTAAAGCAGTTCTTGCATTTCCTTTATTTCAGGAACCTGTATTGGGCTCTGGTTTTCTCCAGCAAATGCACTCTGATAAAAGCATTTGGGTGTCCCTTATCAAAGTAGTTTTTGGAGTTCCACATAAATGTGAATGGAAATATTCTAATACTGTCTTACAAGATTGTAGCGAGAATCAAATGAGGACTTTTGCTTAAGAGAAAGCTGAAAACAAATGAAGTATAAAACAGACTAAAAAGTTTCCAAATAACTTTTAAAATGAAGAGAGATTAACCTTATATTACACCTTGCTTAAGTTGATTTTATCCAGTTACCTCTCTTACCTCTGCACAGAAATTCCATGAGGAGCAAAATACTGGACTGTAGCTTCCTTTTTAAAATTAAATAATTGCCACTTTAAAAAAACACTTAATAATTCTGGAAAGATTGTGTGCCAATCTGAGTTATGGATTTTGGTTCTGCATGCATAGTCAGAGGGGATTCTCTGCTCTGCTGGGCACCCTGCTAGACCGACGAGCGACGCAAGAGCATTTCTTGTGTTGCTTCAGGTCTGGGGGGTTTGGTACTCTTGTTGTTCAGAGCTCTTGAGCAGTCCCTACTTTGCACACCCCTCCCACTCCTGCCCTTTGGGACAGGAGTGAAGCAACAGCTGGACTTGGTAGTCTGACCTAGAGCAACTGTCATGCACTTAACCTGTTTCTCCCCCCAGATGCATTAATTGTACACGTGACGCAGCACATAGATTCTGGTAGGCCTGCATTTGTATGGTGGAGCTTTTCAAAAGTCGTAGCACAAAGCTCCATTGTTTTATTGAGAGTTTAATGTTATGTTGGATTTTCAAATGATAAAGCAAGTAAAGGAGAACTTTTATTAGCAGCTATATTTAAAATGACAGTAATTCTGTATTTTTAATTTCTCTTTTTCTCTCAGTTAAAGAAAAACTCACCGCTGACCCAGATAGCGAAATTGCTACAACCAGCCTGCGGGTATCACTGATGTGTCCAGTAAGTGAAGCTGGGAGAAATCCTCCAACTTTTCTTCCTTCGTTGGACTAAGCTTATATGGGAAAAAAGCACATTAGTACTTATGTGTATAGGTTGCTCTGGTAACAGTTTTATGTGGAACACCATATAGAATGTATACTTTCCGTTTGGAATTCAAAGCTTCCTAAAATATTAAGAAATTAATAAAATATGGGCTAGAACAGTGTTTTTCATATTTGGCAACTTTAAGATGTGTGGACTTCAATTTGGGGAATTCTGGGAGTTGCAGTTCACATATCTTAAAGTTGCCAAGTTTGAAAAACACTGTTCTAGGATATAGAAACAAAATTAAAAAAAACCCTAATAGGTTAGAGGAGAGTTTTCCAACAGGGACGAGGCCACCATCTGAGGGGTGATTTTGAAGTTCAAGAGGGAGATAAAAACTAAGGGGGTCATTGAGAGCGTGATCATTTTGGTGTCAAAGTTATGCTTCCATTCTTATCTCAGACTTTCCAGTCTCTCTTTGAAATATCAGTAGGGATGTGCTTGATTTATAGAACACAATGTGTAAAAAATTTGATTAAAATTGCAGGTTGTAAAAAGTTTAAGATATTACTCAAACAGTGAGTGCTTGTAATAATGGTAGTAATCACAACATGAGAAGATTTGGATGTCAATATACTTTTATTTGTCTGTAGATGGAATCTTATTTCAGTTTCAGTAATTCAGTTTCTCAATTAGGTGAAGATTTCTCTTTTATTGGCATTGCACAATGAGACATGGTGTACCCATGCAAAGGGATCCATCACAATTCATACCCAGTGTTAACATTTTTGAAAACAGCTGGTAGAAAAACAGTTTCTATAGAATGAAGTGGCATTGCAGAAAAAAGATTGGGAACCATTGGGTTAGAAACATAAGCTGAAAGTAATAGAATGTAATTTGATAGAGTTAGATGAAAAGTCTTTCATGTAGGAAAAGGAAATCAAATGCCTATCTAGAGCATGCTGGACACCTGCCTTAATAATGGTATTTGTGAAAAGGATCTTGGAATTCTAGTTGGTCACAGGCTCAGTATAAACTAGCAGAGTGACATGCTTGCAAACCCAGTTTTAGGTTGCATCAAGAGTAGTTTTTAACTCAGGAAATGAAAATTCCATCTTTTCTGTGTTGTTCAAACTTCCTTGGGCAACATTTTAAGAAGGATTTCAAAAGACTGCAAGAAGGGTAATGAAGATGATCAGTGGACTAGACTTAATTTATAAAAGAAGAAGTTGAGGAAAGGGGGTATGTTTAAGTGTCCTTAAAAGACCTGCAACGTTTTGGCCTTCTTTTTTTCCTCTGAGTTTGGAATGATAATTTTAAATTATAGGAATGCTTATTCCTTTCATTCAAAGGAAGAAAGCATTCCTTACAGGAAGAGCAGTTCAACAGCAGAACCCATTCTCTGGAGGGATAGTGGACTTCCAATAATTAGATGTGTTCAAGCAGCGACAGGACACCCATCTGTGGGAGATGCTCTAATTTAGATCCTTGCATTGAGAGGAATTTGACCGTATGTCCTAAATGCAGGTAGTCCTTGTTTAACAACCACAATAGGGACCAGAAAATTTGTTAAGTGAGGTGGTCATTAAGTGAAGCATCACGTGACTGCGCCCAGTTTTACGACCTTCTTTGCAGCAGTCAACCATGTGGTTCACTTAATGACCATTTGCTTAATGTTAAGTGAATCACATGGTTCCCCATGGATTTTGTTTGCCGGAAGCTGACTGGGAAGGATGCAAATGACAATCATGTGGCTGCAGGATGCCGCAACTGTCGTGTGAGCTGGTTGCCAAGCGCCCAGATTGTGATCATGTGACTGTGGGGGTGCTGCGATGGTTGTAACTTAGGGCACCGATTGTAAGCCACTTTTTCAGCACTTCAGATGGTTGCTAAATGAATGGTCATTAAGCAAGGACTACTGGTAAGGGCATTCAGTTTCATTTCCTGAGAATGGAATTTCTTTTTCCTCCCTGTTCTCTTTCTACCTCATTGGGTCTCCAGCTGGGGAAAATGAGGCTGACAATTCCCTGCCGTGCTGGTACTTGTACTCACCTGCAATGCTTTGATGCTGCTCTCTATCTTCAAATGAATGAAAAGAAGCCCACGTGGATTTGTCCTGTGTGTGATAAGAAAGCGACATACGAGAATCTCATCCTAGATGGGTAAGAACCCAGAGAAGGCCTTCTTTTAAGCCCGAGTGGTGACAGCGGCGGTGTTTTGAAGGGCTGCGCATGTAATAATTCTCCTCTTCAAATTATAAAAGCAGTTGAACCACAGTACTAAAATGTCCATATGTGCTTAAATGGAGGGCAGCGTTAAATACAAGACAGGCTTTGTTTGTTTGTTTGCTTGTTTCAAAAGGGAAGAATAGACAGGAAAAAAACATCCACAGACAATAATCCTGTGCTATGCCTAGCTTCCCTATCTCTTCCTGCTGAATTTTAACCCTTTCCTAAGTATCTCAAGAGGGCTTGCTTGTGTTTTGTCTTCTGGGCGTAGTGGGCTAATATCTGCCGGGAGGTAGGAGAGGGGAGAAGATGTTGACATTGCCAGGGCTTCTGCCTCTCTATCTATTTTTCTAGCATCCTCATTCACAACTTTGGAGTCTCAGTAATCTCTGCCTTTTTAAACAGTGTCTGTTTCTCTCTATAAATATGACGCCTTTCCCCTTTCGTGCACAAACAATTCAAAGATAATGAGAAAATCATTCTATGTTTGGGTAAATATATTGCTATTTAAAAGGCTGATAAAAGCCATATTTAAACATCAAACCTGTAAGTTTCTATAAAACAGGCGTCAGTAAACCCTATTACAAACACTCTATCTGCATGGCTAGTTCTTTTCATGAAAGAAACAAGAGACACAGTCAAACATCTCTGGCTCCGGGCACACTGGGGTCTGTTAGCACACACAGCTGGATTAATTAATCAGTCAATTTATATAGCCGCCCATCTCACCACAGGTGACTCTGGGCAGTGTACAACAAAGCTAAAAACAGTAAAAATATATAAAACAAAATGAAACAGAGAATAAAAAGTTGAAAATAAGGGAGCCACCTCGCTAATTCCCCCATCCCCTGGGGTCCCCAGGCCTGCTGGCATAACCAAGTCTTAAGGGACTTCTGGAAGCTCAACAATGATGAGGCCAGTCTCACCTCAGGGGGGAGAAGATTACACACTATACTAGTAGATAGCTAGTAGTTCATGCTAGTAATAACCATTGGGATATGGGGAGGATGCTCCAGTTTGTTTCTAAGGAAAGTATCATAATTATTAATGGAAACATGCTGGTAATGTTTAATGTTGCTTTCCAGGCTCTTTATGGAAATTTTGAATGAATGTTCAGATGTTGATGAGATCAAGTTCCAGGAGGATGGTTCCTGGTGCCCTATGAGGCCAAAGAAGGAGGCTTTGAAAGTTGTTGGCCCACAGTGCCCCAAAATAGAAAGTAAGTAACTTGTTATTTTTCCTCTGGGGTGAGAAGTTACTCATGCTGATTCAGGGTGAACTTGGTACTCCTGTAGCTTTTTTGAAAGACAGAGACCTTAATAGATCCTTCCTGAAGCACAGCAAGGTTGACACAGGCAGCTTTGGGAAGGGAGTGCTCCAAATAGGCCTTTAGTTGTGAAATGAGCTGCTGGGTGAGGTGAGTGGCTGCAGCCCTGAATATCTTAATGTGCTAAGAGAGGAGTGTTGCTGCCTTAACTGAAAAGCTTTCTTTCTACTGGTGGGTGGAGAAGGTCTTCCTGAGTTCCCTGTTATTTCAGTTGCTGCTGTTTTCTCTTCACTCTTTTTACTGACAACTGTTCTAGAGTCCACATACACTCCCAAGGAGTCTCCTTTCAATCCTTTTTTATTAAGTAAAACAAACAACAAAAAAAGCAAAAGCAAAGAAAAGGGAAAGGAATATGTCTACACAAAATAAGCTTTACACTAGAGCAAAGGTTGAAATGAAAATATGATGATTATGAAAACTCTTACTTTCTAGATTACTATAGAATTTCAAGGCTTTAACATACAGGTAGTCCTCGACTTATGACTGGTCATTTAATGACTGTTCAAAGTTATGACGGCCATGGAAAGGGTGCTTTACAGCCCGTAAAGCACTTCCAGCTGTCATAAAATGTTGCCATGTCCCCAACCCACCCCCCTGTGGTCACATGACCACATTTTAGGCGCTTGGCAACTGGCTCGCATTTACGGCTGCTTGCCAAGCTCCTCCTGATCACGTGATCGCCATTTGCAATCTTCTCTGCTGGCTTCCCCAGAAGGGCAATGGGGAAGCCAGCAGGAAGGTTGCAAGCAGAGGGGGCAGAGGGGAGCTGAAATCCTTTTGCGGGCTGCAGGAACATAGCTGAAATCTTCAGGATTTGAGCTCTGTTCCTGCAGCTCACTGAAGGATTTCTCCTCTGTGCTTGGAGGGCAAGGGAAACCCTTCAGTGGGCTGCAGGTGTGAAACTCAAATCCTGAAGATTTCAATTCCATTCCTGCAGCCACAAAGGATTTCTCCTCCATCATGGAGGGGAGGGGAAACCCCTCAGCGGGCTGCAGAAACATTTCAGAGCAAAAAGGCTGCCTGCCGGGAGGATATCAGCTCTGTGTGGAGCTGAAATTCTTCAGCAGGCAGCCCTTTTGCTCTGTCCACTTAATAAGCCGGGAGATCGTTTAATGACTACAACCAGGAGTGCCCAAATTGCAGGCATTGAGCGAAGCAGTCACGTGGGTGTCTTGCTTAAGATCTGCTTTGCTGAATGATCAAGATTCCGGTCCCAATTGTGGTTGTTAAGCGAGGACTACCTGTAATTATGCTCAACCATATCCCATGATGGAACTGGGTATGATTAATTTTGGGGAGGGAAAAGTATCAAAAGTTTGACCAAGTAAAAAGAATAACAACTTTTGCACCTCAAGAAGAAACTTTCCCAGTAGGCACAAATGTTTATTTTCCTTCTTTGACAAACCCCAGTAAATACTTGCTTGGAATGCTTTCAATCCCCATCTCTAGGAGAGAAGCTTTCTCAGATGGTTTGGCCAAGGGCTGAGCCCACAGATTCTGTTCTGACTTCATAGTGAATAAATAACTGTCTAGGTCTGCAGATAAAAGCACTCTGAAGTCAAAATAGACAGGAGAACTGGCTGGTTGTGAAGGGGAAGGGTGTCCCATTGAAAATGATCTTCCCATTCCTAGGATTCCTTCTCCACTTTCCCCAAAACAGGTAAATTGGTCCTCTCCTGATCCCTTGTCCTTTCTCAAAAGACAACTATTTCCTGTTTTCTTTTAAAGAGAAAGGTGGAAGAGCAGCATTGTTCTAACCACCCCTTTGAAAGAAAGAATCATTGCAAAGCATTTCAGACATTGTGAAGTTCAATTACAGGCGTTGCTCTGGCTGTCTCCCCCCTTAGTTTTGCATGCTCCAGGTTCTGTCATGATCAACAAGCAGGGCTCTACCCCCATTGGAGAAGTCAGCAAGAAAAAGGTGGATGTCATCGATCTCACTGTTGAAAGCTCATCTGACGAAGAGGAAGATGCACCGCCTAAACGGAAATGCATATATATGTCGGACACACAAGCAAGTCCCACTAAAGGGTTTGTTAATTTTCTTCTTTACAGCACTGCCTGCCTACCCTTGGCTTCAGAAAATGCTTTTGGAAGGATTATAGAAGTTGGGGAGGCTTCCTTGCATTTGAGCCCCTTTCTCAAAATTCTGTGGACCTTTCATGTGCTTTCTAACCAGTTTAGAAACCAGGTTCAGCCAGACATGGGCGTAAGAGTCTCTCATTGCAACTGGTAGTCCTTTTGGGTGAAATTTCCTCATTTTTGTGATGAGGTCTTATGACTGCTATATTCTGAGAGACCTCATTTAACTTTTAGGGATGTGAGGAAAGATGTGCATAGGTCTGGCTCCAGTGACTGAGGAACAGCAGTGGGAGAGGACAGTTGCCTCACACCTTCTAAAGTTGGCCTTCCAGCCTCAGAGCTTTTCTTACATTGGTAGTTGCCTGCCTTTTGGGGAGTCCTTCTGCCTTTCACAAGGATGCACTTGTGCTCTTGACTTACCCCACATCCACAACTATTTCCATAGTTCAACGATTTTCTTTACTATAAAAACTAACCACTCTTAAAAAAAATCCTTATGGCTCTGAGATCTTAGAAGAACCTATAGCATTTGGTTTTCCAGGAAATAGGTTTTGTTTCCTCTTTTTTATTGCTCATTTAGTAAGGGCTTCTGATTTTAATTACAGCTTTGCATTTTAATTACATCTTTAAAATATATTGGGAGCCTGTTTTTAATTATGGCCTCATTGCTTATGGACAATAAGTCACTGTTGCATGGTGCATTACATCTCTTTCTGGTAACTTTTTTTTTTTTTTTAACTTTTCATCTGCTTTTTCCCAACTAGGGTACTCATGTATCAGCCAGCAGCTGTACGAGTCCCAGGAGTCAGCACGGTGGATTCTACTGCTATTGCACCATCATTGACAGACTATTCTGTGCCATTCCATCATCCATCAATATCAAGTATTTCATCTGACTTGCCTGGTAAGTGCACCTTTAGTTTTCTTAACTGACTGGGATTGTGGCTGGAATGAAAGTCAGATAAGAAACCAGCAACCAAAATGTCTTTCTTCTTCTTCCCACCCTTGTTGAATGTATGTTGAGCAGAGCTTTTCTGCAAGGTTAGTTGAGAATCTGTTGAATTCACCTCCTTGGTGGTTTTCAAAATCCAGAATACAAATAGAAAGATAAAATAAAACAGTACAAAAGTAAAACTGTACAAGATAAGACAAAAATAAAGATCGGTAAGAGTACAGATGCCAACATCAAAGACCATCTAAGAAGGAGCTAACCTAATCTCTGTGGGGAGGCTGTTCCATAGTCGGTGCTGCTACAGAAAAGCAGCTTCTCCTCGCATTGCCCCCCTGAACTTCCCAAAAGGACAGGATTTGCAGCAGCTTCTCCTTGGTGGATCTACGAGGTGAGACCAATGTTGGCCACAGCAGACACCCCACAGGTATGGGCCTGGAAACCAATTGACAACTGATGCAGGGCATGCAGTTCTGTTTCAGTCTTTGCCAACATTTAAAAATAGCTCTTATGTAAAGCAGAAAATGATATATCCAGCAAGATGTTTGTGTACTTGTCCTCCTTGTCCTGCTTTCTGTTCTTTCCCAGCCACGCCATTCTGTTTCATTCTCAAGTTCTCCTGACGAAATAGTTCAGCCAGTCCTAGGTCCCTCATGGGTTTCATACTTAAGTGAGTCTTGAGTTCACTATTCTCACCCAGTACTTCAGCCACTGTGGTCCATGAGGTCTAATTATCCTTTCATACAACTTGTACTTACTGAAGGCAATGCGTCTCTCTCCCTAGGTTTGGATTTCCTTTCTTTAATCCCAGTTGATCCACAGGTAAGGACCTTAACTGCTTCTAATCAGCTTTTAACATCCACAGAGACAAGAATTAAGCTGGAATAATTTTGAAACGAGAAGTGGAAGCCCTCTGAGAAGAGTTAAAGCTAGATGTTTGTGCAATTAAAGTATGTGTCTCCCATGATTTCTCTGTAACACAGACATGTTAATTTAAACATTTAATATCTCATACAGGGGACCGAGATAGGGGTTGGGGCAGCTTTCCCAGTTCTTGATCTTTCAGCAGCTTTTGATAGCATCAATCATGGTTTCCTTCTGGACTGACTAAAGGGACTGAGAGTGGGAAGCACCATAGTGGCTCTTCTTTTGCCATGGCCATTCCCAGCCAGTGCTGATGAAGGGGAGGGGGAGAAGTCAAGCCTGAAGGATGCCGATGGCCCAGTGCATTCACCCCTCCTGTTTGACATCTACATGAAGCCTCTGAGAGAGAACACCCATTGCTGCAGGGCCAGGGATCACTACGATGATGATGCTCAGCTGTACAGATGTGGCCAAAAGTATTGGTCCCTCTTCATTTTTTCCCAAAGAATCCCAGTTTGCCATGAAATGAGGTGAAACTGACAGAAGTACATGGCATCCACGGTTCTTTATTCCATAGAGCAGACACTTTGCTTTGGATGTATGCCTTAACGCCTTCTTGTAACTGAGAAAGCAAATGAAAATGGCATGGACATAATTATTGGAACCCCAAACCTAAATGCATGCATGCATACATAGCCTTCTGTAGCGTACCCTCTTGAGGCATTAAATGCAATCAAATGTTTTCTGTAGCTCTGAATAAGACTTCGGCACTTCTCAACTGACAGTTTGTCCCATCGTTCTTGAGCAAACTGCTCCAGTTGTCTGAGGTTTGATGGGCTCCTTCCCCCAACTGTGAGTTTCAGCTCTTTCCATATAAGTTTTATTGGATTCAGATCAGGACTCATAGCAGGCCACTTCAGAACAGTCCAGTGTTTGGTTTTCAGCCATTCTTGGGTTCTCTTAGATGTAAGTTTTGGGTCATTATCCTGCTGGAGGACTTATGACCTATGACTGAGGTGGTACTAGGTATTATGTTTCGTTACAGAATGACTTGATAATCTTCTGATTTCATTGTGTCCTGCACAGATTCAAGGCACCCAGTGCCAGAGGCAGCAAAGGAACCCCATAACATCATGGAGCCTCCTCCATGTTTCACACTAGGGATGGGTTTTTTTTTAAAGCATCTTTTTTTCTTCTGTGAACATAGAGCTGCTGTGACTTACCAAAAAACTCTAATTTAGTTTCATCTGTCCAAAGGACACTCCCAGAAGGGGTGTGGCTTGTCAGCATGCATTTTAGCAAACTCCAGTCTGGTTTTTTTGTGTTTGTCTTTCAAAACTCGGGTCTTATTTATATATATATTTTTATTTAATCACTGCCCATGTCACTCAAGAGTGACTCTGGGCAGTTTACAGTGACATAAGAATAAATATTAAATAAAATACAATAAAAATACAATAAAAAACCATGTTGATATGTAAATTACTAAATAATTAATTAAATATATATATAAATATATAAAGCTTCCAAGATACTGATGGTAAATAAAGGTTGCAGGAGCATCTCCAAGGTGCCAACCACCCCCAGGGTTGGTTGCCCCTCTTCTCACATGAGTTGGTAGAGCCAGGTATTCACCATTTTCCTGAAGGTCAGGAGGGGAGAGGCCCACCCCACCTCGGGGG